CTGGATCGTCAAGACGCAGCAGTCAGGTTGGTACGTGGCGTTGAACTCCCGAGAACCATGCTCCGCCACGCATCAGGATCTTCAAACTGTTGTCTTCCAACGAGGCAGTTCCCTCAACAGAAATGAACCGTTGTAAGGGGCCTATGAAGAGGGAACTTGGAGGGAGGGTTAACTCCAACATCGTTAATGACTCTTGGGTTTCCACTGGTCCTCCTCCTCCTCCTCCTCCTCCTCCTCCTCCTCCTCCTCCTCCTCCTCCTCCTCCTCCTCCTCCTCACCAGCAGCCCCCCAAGATGGACAAGCGCGTTCCACTACTCGCAGAGTAACTACTCACAAATGGCCCGGGGCCGCCGCGGGGGGACTTCCGATACACATCACATAGAGGAAGACATGCTTCTTTCTCGGACGCTTGCGAGTAGGCACTTCTTGCGAGCAGTGGAACGCGCCTGGTGACGGGAGCACAATGCGGACAGGAGGAGCCTGGGCCGAGCAGGCACTCCCGCGGGCCCTGCCCTCCTGCGGCCCGCCGCCCCCGCCCCCGGCGGCGTGCCGCGCCCGCCCCCGCCGCCGCGACGTCTCGGCGCAACTCCGCGGCCCCGCCCCGCGGGGCCTTCGGACGGGCTCGGGCCGTCGCCCGCCGCGGCGCCCTCGTCGGCGGCGCCTGGGGCGGCCGCTCGCAAACGCCACGAGGGAGGTGGGCTCCTCCCCCTCCCCCCCCCTCCTCCTCTGGAGCCTCTGGAGCCTCTGCGGACACAATCCCTCAATGAAAGACTGGCCCGTGGGGGGATAATTAGTGGACTAGGAAGGGGCGCCCCACCAACACCTTGGATGTGGGGTCAATGCATTGGCGCATGTACTTCAAGGCCCCTATCTTCCCAGTCCCTGCAACACGATGGCAGCGCGCGGCCAGGTCCTTGACCTGCCTCCGCGCGTGGCAACCGCACTGCATGCAGAAATACAGGTCCGAGCCTAGCACCCACATGCGGTGCGACTCGTGCGTCCGCGCAAGCACCCTCGGCTTGCCAGGACACTCATTCTGGATGACCGCACTCCGTCGAGCAGCGTTCACCCCGCAAACTCTGCAACCCCACCTGCCATCAGCGTTGTGCAGCAGGTGGCCTCGATCCCCCGTGGTGAGTTTTAGCACGCACACGGGTTCATCAACTAAAATCTGGTTCGGCCTGGGGACCTTTGTGGCCCTCGGGACCTTGTCCACATCTGGAAATCCTATTGTACTCAGGCGCCTCATGGAGTCTGCCAGGAGCCTCGTGAATTGCCTACCGAAAGCCTTGGCCGCCTGGATCATTTGATCCAAATGGGGGGCCACAGGATGCTCTAGAGCCCCCCGCCTCGAATACTTGTCGGCCTGCCAGTTCCCAGAGCACCAGGAGTCCGAAAAGTTGTGATTCCTGAGCCACGCTTTGCTTTTGTGAGACGGCATCCACTGCAGATTCACATTCTCCCCCCCACGTCGTTCAATTTCCAGAATATTAGACTCCAGGCTTCCCAGTACGGTTCTGAAACTCTACACATCTTCTCGGTGCCCTTCTGGAGACCTATCAGGAGGTTCTTGTGGTCCGTGATAATGGTCGTTCTGGGTCCCATGAGACATAATGCCATGTAGAACGCGTAGTGCTCTGCCATGCCCGCGCTCTGCACAGGCCCTGGCACTGGCCCGTAGGCCACCGATGAGACTTGCTCGCTCCCGTGCTGGAGAGATACGACCGCCCATCCTGCCCTCGTCATCCACTCCACATCTGGGTTGACCCCCGAGCCGTCTATAAAGATCTCTTCGCTGAGGTAGCCGCTCCTCCTCCTCCTCCTCCTCCTCCTCCTCCTCCTCCTCCTCCTCCTCCTCCCTCCCTCCTCCTCCTCCTCCTCTCCTCCTCCTCCTCCTCCTCCTCCTCCTCCTCCTCCTCCTCCTCCTCCTCCTCCTCCTCCTCCTCCTCCTCCTCCTCCTCCTCCTCCTCCTCCTCCTCTCCTCCTCCTCCTCCTCCTCCTCATCTCATCATCATCATCATCATCATCATCATCATCATCATCATCATCATCATCATCATCATCATCATCATCATCATCATCATCATCATCATCATCATCATCATCATCATCATTCTCCTCCTCCGGCACCTGCACCAGGGCCCCAAGGCCACGTGGTGCCGGACTGCGCGGTGAGCTCGGAATCCCCAGCGACCTCACCGCGCGGTCTGGGACCCTCGGGGCCCCGGTTGCCCGAAACATCCTCGGAGAACGGCCCGAGTCCCAAGACCGCGGGGCGACCCCGAAGCCCGACTGACCCACCACGCGGTGTAGTCACTACGCAGTTTGGGGGACCCCAGGTGTGTACACCACCGACCGTGGCTGGCTGGGGCCATCCTGGGCCCTCCTTCGGCATGATGTGCACATTGAAAGCTGATAGTAAGGGTGCGCGAGAAGGATGCAAGGGACTCGGTCGCCCATGCCGAAATTTTTCGAACGGGGCTGGCCATCGAAAGTGGTTGTGGGTGGACCGCAGATGACCTAAGATCGGCGGCGAGCCTGGGGGGAAGTGAGGACAAGGACTTCTCGGAAGGCTCGGAAGCCCCCTTGCCTTTTGAAAAGTGTCCTAAGCCTTTCCAAAGACACGAAAAAACGTCTCAGAAGGCCCCAGGGTTTCTGAGAAGCCCCGCCGCCTTCTGAGAAGTCCTTCTCCTTTGTCACATCCCCCCCTCACTCGCCGCCGATGATCGGGGGCGGCCAAGAGGGGGGCGTCCACAAAGGGGGGGGGGGGGGGCGCAAATCATGGCCCGCGGCACGTGCGCGGCCCAGGGGGGGAGGCGGGGACGCAATGAAATATGAAGAGGCGCCATGAGATCTGGGGAGGCATCATGGCCCCCGCCGTGACATCCCCCGCCCCCCTGGTCATCACCGCCCTTTTTGCCGCCCCCGAGATGAGAGGCAGGGGTGCAAGGGCAGCCTTCCGGGGCCGAGGCCAGGGGCCTGCGCGCCGTCCCCGGGGCCCGTGGCCGCCCGGGCGAGGCGCGGTGGCGGCGCACACGGGCGCCGCATGTGGGCCGCGGGCAGCGGGGAGGCACGTCCGAGCCAAGGGGGAAGGGGGGGGCCCAACGGGGAGGGGAGGGGGGGAGGGGCCCTGGGAGAGGGGGGGGGGAGGACGCACCACTGCAGGACCTCGTGATGACGATCGAGATCTGCACTGTGGGAAGATGATCTTCGATGTGGTCCAAGCCAGCTCTGCCTGAACACCGCCTGCTACCGCGATGACTCGGCACATGTGGAATATGGATCGCGCTGCGCTCACTCAGCGCCGCTTGAACCGCCTTTTACGTCGCAGCGCGGCAGGGGCGATCCGCTCTCGCGCTCTCGTAGCCTGGGGGGCGTGGCAGGCGAATTGGCCGACTGAAAGAAAAAGAAAAGAGGAAGAGGGCGACCGCGAAAAGCAAGCGGAAGAAAGAATTTCTGCGCGGGGGGGAGGGAATTGGATGGTGGCAGGTGGCGCCTTCAGGTATTGAGGTCCGAATTGTGGGGGTACGTTGGCACCCCTCCCTGCGGCCGTCTTCCTTGGCCGATGGACCGTAGGGAGGACCGAGGGGGGATGAGGGAGGAGGGGGGGATGGAAGGGGGAGGGAGGGGGGGATGGAAGGGGGAGGGAGGGGGCGATGAGGGGGGAGGGGGAGATGGAAGGGGGAGGGGGGGTCAGGCGGGGGGGGGGAGGGGGAAGTGGGGGAGGGGGGGGTGGAAGGGGGGGGGGGGGGGGAACAACAGCGGGCTCGGACCCTAGGGCCTCGCGCGGCGGCCGCTCGTGCCCGCACGCCGGTCCTTCGCTACCGTGCCCCGTTTATAAGAGGGGAGGACGGAGGAGGGGGGGAAAGAAGAACGGCGACGCGCACGGACAGGCCCTGGGCAAGAGCGGCCTCTGGCCCCAGGCTTGCCGATCGCGGCACGCTGTGCGACAACATCGGCCTGCGTACTTGGGCTTGCCCCCCCCCCCCCCGCCCCACGCCCCCGCAAGCCGCGCACGAACGGTCACTCCGACGAAGTGTCACTCTTACGTGTACAGGCATCGCACTGCCTTAAGCGACGCTAGGTCAGGGACAAGAGGGGCTCCCCGGCCACAGCGAGCCTTGCCTGGCCACGGCGAGCCTCGGCCACGAAAAGGTCCACGACCCAGATCTAGGGAACGGCCCGAACATCAGAGCCTCTCCAGAGCCCAAAGTAGGAAGGGGGAGGGGCTGGGGCACTCCGAACGCATTCGGGGAGGCAGTGCGACCCCAATCCCTGACCATACGGGACCCTCGGTTTGACAGAACGCTCGGGCCCAAGCTCGGAGAAATGCGATGGGGGACCGCCCATCCTCGAAAAGGGGCGCACCCCGATGACTTCCCTGGCTGCACTCCCGACCCCCCCTTGTTCTCTGGAAAGGGCTCCCGACCCCCCCTTGTTCCCTTGTTTCGTATGATTATTCCTCTCGTTCTCTCTCTCTCTCTCTCTGTCGATCGCTCTTTCTCTCTGCCTCTCGGTATATGTTGTATGTTTCTCTCTCTCTCTCTCTCTTTCCCCCTCTTTGTCTGCCATGAAAAGACGCTGCGAGCCCCAGCTTTTCCGGTCTTTGTTCAGCTTTTCCCAGAAACTACCCGATGACAAGCGCTGCGTTTACAGCTTCTCCACCACTTTCCATTTGTTCCAGAGAAGACCCGATGGAAAACCCTCTGCGTTCCAGCTGCTCCAGCCTTTACCGCTTTTCCGAAAAACTACCCAGTGAAAAAACGCTGCGTTATCCAGATGTTCCAGCTTCCACTGCGTTTTCCACAGGCCACCCGATGAAAAAAAATGTGTCCAACTGCTCCAGTTTTTTCCCGCGTTTTCCACAGACTACCCGGTGACAAACGCTATGTGTTCCCGCTTTTTCCAACTTTTTCCAAGAGATCGCCCGATGAAAAACGTTGTGCTTCCGAGCTGTCCAACTTTTCCATATGTCCCCAGGGACTACCCGATGAAAAGGCTGTGATTTCCAGCTTTCCCAGCTTCATTTCCAGCTTTTCCAGCTTCTCCCGGAGACTACACTGCTACGTAGCACTTGGAAAAAAGCTTGGAACACAACGTCTTCCAATGGGATAATATTTGAGGAAAGCTAGGAAAACTGGAAAATCGGTAAAGCACAACGTTCTTCAATATTGAAAATGTCTGGGAAAAGCTGGAAACGCTGGACAAACTGGAAAGCAGACAGCTGTTCAATGAGGTGCTCTCTGGGAACAGCTGGATAAGCTGGCAACGCAGCGTTGTTCAATACCCTCCCCTGCCGCGCGCCCCCGTGTTTGCTCATTGGGGGGACGTCGTGCACTCGCAGGTCAGGTAGCCCCAACGGGGCAGCATTGGCCGCCTGCTCCCCGCTCTCCGCCTATACGTAGCGCTCTAGAGCTCCAGCCATCAGAAGAGCTCTCGCGCTGACGGGCCAGGGCTCGAGCTCGCCGCGACGGCGCCCGTCACCCCGTCTGCGCGGCCCTCATTTGTTTGCTGGCGTGCCCCCCAGTGGGACCACCGCACAAACATCCGCACGCTGCATCCGGCGCGGCACGACCCGGCGCGGCACGCGGCGCGCGGCACACGGAGCGGCACCCGGCGCAGCACCGCACACGGCGTAACACATGGCATGACACCGCGCGGCATGGAACTCGTGTCGTCGGCGGCGAGGCGGGGCAATCCGCACCAGCGAAAGAGCGAAGCAGGGGCACTACTGAGCGAACTGTCCGGCGTGCAAGAGCGGAAGGAGGACAAAAAGGAGCCGCGGGCGGAGGGGGAGGAGGAGACGCTCAGTCGCGCGGCATGGAAAACGGACAGGGCATTTTACCCCGAAATGTCCGAAGTTGGTCTGCTTCGTTGCGGTGTAGCTCCGCAGCCGCGCGCAGCCGCTGAGAGGCTGCGCGCGGGCGCACGCCGCCAGTATGCGACGCGTGCGCGGCTGGTCTGCATACACATATATATGAACAAAAACACGAAGAAACATAAGAAGAGTAATGATAACACAAAAAAATAATACGGACACGACTACTCATGATAATAATAAAGATAATAACATAGTAATGACAATTATGATGATGATCATACTACCAATAGCAAAAATAATAACAATGATGATAACACAGTGTGTTTGCTACACGCTCTCTGTTCTAGGGGCCCCATGGCGGACCTTCCCTTGACGGCGCCGTGGCTGAGGACGAGAAGAGACAGAGGAGCAAACCGACAAGAGTGAAGGTGGAGGATGGAGAGATACACGATGAAGCTGGAGGAAGAGTGAAAAATGCGAGTCGGAAACCTGAGCGAGGCGGAGGCAGGAGACAGATGCGGAGGGATAGGAGGAAGATGAGAAGACGGAAAATGAGGAAGGAGGCATGGCAACGATACGAGGGGGCAGGGTGAGGAGCGGAAGGATGATGATGATGATGCTGATGATGATGCTGATGATGATAATGATAATGAGGAGGAGGAGGAGGAGGAGGATAATTAGGACGATGCGATAAACGACATCGCACACAAGCGAAAGGTATGCTACTGGAGAGGAGCAGCACATGCATATACACACACATATGTAACAAATCAATGCACAACAAAACATAAATGCATGAACAAACATGTATGGTTTCGTTCTAGGACTGCCTGAAGCAACCCTTCAGGCTTGAGGGTCGAAGGTCGAAATTGGAGGACCCAAACGTTTTGCACTTTCTGGGCCTCCGCAGACCCAGGGAGGCCCTCCACTACTCCGGAGGCCTCGGGGTCCCGTGGAGATCCCCAGAGACCCGCAGATCCAGGCGTAGTGAAAAGATCAAGACGGGCGTCCACCCAGGACGCTCACCTACCGACCCAGCTCCGTAGGAACGCGCCAGAAAGATGGGGTCCACAGCTCTGGTCGCTTCTTCCTTCGAAGCCCATCATTCTTCACGCCTTCGGAAGCTGCCCGCAAATGCTTCGCGTGAGCCTGCGCTTCCCCTGGCCCGCACATTCACCAGCAACGGTCTTGCTCCGAAGAGTCCCAGGAAGGGGGGGAGAATTTGAGTGCCCCGAGGGTCGCCAGACCTGGGGCTCGAAGGCCGACAGAGTCTGGCTTCCCTGCGCGCGACTAGAACTGACCCGCTGAAGGTTCGACGGTATGGCGACCCCGTGGGGTACGCCGCGGTGAAGGCGTTGGATGAGGAACCATTGGACAAGGAATCCAGTGCCTGGAAGCCGGGTGAACTCCCATCGTGAACTGGCCATGCGTAGCACCGCCGCCCTCATCAGACAAGGAATCCTCCGGGGTCCAGGGGTTCGAAGCCTCGTGTGCACATTCCCTCACGAACGCCCCGACCGGATAAAAGAAATGAGCACTCCACCGAACATTCCCACAGGGTCAGGGCGCCATCGTCGGAGACGTTCTCGTCGGAGGCATTGGCGGCGTCGTCGGAGGCGTTGGCAGTGGAGGCATCGAGGTGGTCCGCTCGGGTCGTCTTCTTGCGCATCTTCTGCCGCCTGTCCACAGCTGGGATTTGCGCCCTCCCCCCCCCCATTTCACTCATACGCAGAATTTGACCGTGCTTATTCGAAGCAGCACTCGGTCCACTTGACAAGCAGCTCGCATCTGGAACAGCCGTGGGTAGGACAAGCGACCGTACGCCAGCTGGCGATCATCGGCCAATCCGCGGGACACCGTGTATACACGCAGCATCAGCCGAACAGAGCGAATCGCCACATTTGCAAGTCTGCGTTTTCGCAAGTCGATTGGCGCATTTGGGACATCTAAAATGCATGTGTGCCTGTACCTGCGCATGTGGCATACTGACGCTTGCTGATTATCCTCCTCCTCCTCCGCCGCCTCCTCCTCCTCATTCGTCCTTCCCGAGGTGTTACCCCAAGGGTTTCCACAACGGCTGGGGGCCCTAGAGTCCAACAGTCAGGCCAAGCTCTGGCCCAGCGTTTGCCCACATCGGCCATTCCAGAAAGGCAGGGGGCGGCGGTGATTCGCCGCAGGCGTCTTCGAAAACAAGACGAAGATAGTCTGGGCGCAGCGACCAGCTCAGGGCGGCCACCCGACCCGCGCAGGTCCAGCAGATACTCTCGGCGGTATACTCAAAGAGAATGGGGTCAGCAGGGCGGCCTTCTGAGAGGGCCCCTTCCACTTCTTAGAGATGCGGGCATGTTCCTCTTGATGTGAGGACACCCAAAGTGGCCGAAGAGAAGCTAAGAGGCCCCCAAGGCAACCCCACGAGACCCCCAAGACGGCCGAGATGTGCAGGAGACAGCACACGACGGCACCACGACGGCCCAAGAGGAACCCAAGAGGGCCTCAAGAGAGCTCAAAAAGAGCCCCATGACGGCCCCACAGGAAGCCCAAGCCAGCCCTACGACCGCAGGTGACCCGATGAACACCCTCCAAGGAATAGAAACGAGAAGTGCCACACCTTGCAGACTCCTCGGCGGTGCTCGAAGCGCCACCACACGGAGTGCTGCGCCGGCATAGTGGCGGACCTCGCGTTTTGAAGCCGCAGCGCCCCGCGTCCTCCTTGAGGTAGGAGCTCGACCACAAGAAACCTTCCACAAGAAACCCAACCCTGAGACCCCAGGACGTCCATTGATTTTTGGTGTGGGAACGTCACGCTCTCCACAGTTAAACCATCGAAAACCAAGAAACCAAGTCACCCTGGAGGCAAGCAGGGTGTTTCCTGGCACGGGCCTCACCTTCCGCATTCCGACCCCTCCTTGCTCTGCCCTCAGCATGTCCACCTGCACGATCATCCACGATTCGCCACACTCCTCAAACGTTTCGTGGCCTCGGAAACAGCTCCACCGAAGGTCCTCACGGGACAAGGCGCTCAGCGGCGGTGCCCCCATCCTGGCACACCCCTCACAGGTTTCTCGGCCCCACAGCAAGACGATGCGTGGCCCCGGAGGGGACGCCATCGAAGGTCCCAAAGGGACAGGGCGCATGGCGGCGGTGCCCACACGTGACCAATTCCAAAAGCCCTGGACCGACCCAAAAAAACGTTTCCACCTCTTGGGGACGCATCTTTTACTCTCGCCGCCTGCCGCCAGCCTTCCGCCGGCTTGACAGGCTGAGGCGGCCTCGTTCTACTTCCGCCGACCTCCCGCCGCCTTCTCCCCGCGGAGAGATGGCAACTCCTTCGACCCTCAAAGGCGAGGCCGTTTTTGGAGCGCCCCATGTAGGCACACCCATCACACATGTCGTGGCCCAGTCAAGAAGTTCCACCAAGCTGGCGCCGCCGCGCCTCCTTTCGGCACAACCCCCTCACGCGCTTCGTGGCCCCGCAGGAAGCTGCACCGCATGACTGCCGCACTCCACGTCATACATCCAGGAGCCTCTTGGTGCCCCTGGACACCAGCAGGAATCTGGAGGACCTGGGCGCCGCACCCTAAGACGGCCAAAGAGGCCCGCAAGAAGCCCCCAAAGGCCCCCCTAAACCCTCCAAGAGGTCCCCAGGAAGCTCCCAGGAGGCCCCAAGAGTGCCCCAAGAGGCGCCCAAGAGGCCTCCTCCTCCTCCTCCTCCTCCTCCTCCTCCTCCTCCTCCTCTTTTTTCCTCATCCTCCCCCTCCACCTCTTCTTGCTCCCCCACGCGATCCCCGAAGTCTTTCCAAACCGACTCGGGGAACAACTGGCACGATAGCTTGGCCAAGCTCTAGCCCAGCTGTCGGCCACAGAGGGGTGCCTGGCGTGCTGAACCCTCTCGGTTTGGGTTTTGGTTCTTTTCCAAAAGTACTCCCCCTGGGCCTCCGGCGCGTTCCGCCGGCCACCCAGAAAGGTTGCCAAGGACCTCAGTCCGGAAAAAAATCCTCCAAGATGGTCCAAGATGGCCTCAAAGATAGCCACGTTGGTCCAAGATGGCCTCCAAGATGGTCCAAGATGGCCTCCAAGTCCGCCCAAGATGGCCCTTGACAGCCTCCAAGACGGCCCAAGAGAGTCCACGATATCTCCAAGTTCATCCAAGACGCCTCCAAGACGGCCCAAGAGGTCTCCAAGAGGTCCTCCAGGAGGGCCCGAACAGGCCAAAATCATTGATTTCCTGAGGTTTCGAAGGATTTGGGCATCTGCCTCATCGCCCCAAGATCGCCCACGAGGCCTCCAAGAGGGCCTTATGACGGCCCAAAAGGCCTCCAAGACGGCTCCAGGAGGGCCCCAAGACGGCCAAAGAGACCTCCAAGAAGCCCAAGATGGCCTCCAAAACGGCCCCGAAGCACCCCAAGAGAGCCCCAAGCCGATTCAGAGAGGCCCCCGAGACGGCTCCCGACGGCGTCAGACGGGCCAGGAACCCACCAAGATGGCCGAAGTTGGCTCGAAGCTGGCCCAAGACGGCCCAAGAGGCCTCCAAGAGGGCCTCCAGAAAGGCCAGAAAAAGGCTAAAAACACAAGGTGTCCTTAGGTTTTGGAAGGATTTTGACATTTGCTTCTTTTCGGCCTTCCGACGGCCCGAGACGGCCCAAGAGCTCCCGAAGATCGCCCAAAGATCCCCAAAGAGGCCTCCAAGATGGCCCCAGAACGGCCCAAGAGGCCCCCAAGACGGCTCGAAGAGGCCCCCAAGACGGCTCGAAGAGGCCCCCAAGACGGCCCCAGAGGCCTCCAAGACGCCCAAGATGGCCTCCAAGACGGCCCTGGAGTATTCCAAGAGGGCCCCAAGTCGGCCCCCAAGAGTACTCCAAGTCGACCCCAAGAGTACTCCAAGATGGCCTCCAAGAGGGCCCCAAGACGGTTTCCGACGGCATCAGACGGGCCAGGAGCCCACCAAGACGGCCGAAGATGGCCCTAAGATGGCCCCCGACGGCCCAAGAGGCCTCCAAGAGGGCCTCCAGGAAGGCCCGAAAAGGCCAAAATCATTGATTCCCCATGAGTTTTGTGGCATTTGCTTGGTTTCGGCCTTCCGACGGCCCGAGACGGCCCAAGAGGCCCCCAAAGATCGTCCAAGAGGTCCAAGACGGCCCCAAGAGGCCCTCAAGACGGCCCAAGAGGGCTCCAAGACGCTCAAGATGGCCTCCAAGACGGCCAAAGAGCCCTCCAAGACGTCCTCCAAGAAGGCCCGAAAGGGTCAAAATGGACTCCAGACGGCCAAGATGACCTTCAACATGCCCACGTGTTCCCCGAAGGCTTTCCAAACCGATTCGGGAACACATGGTCCGATAGCTTGGCAGGTCTGGCCTCAACGTTCGGCCACATAGGCACTTCCAAAAAGGCAGGGGGCGGCGGTGATTCGCCGTAGGCGTCTTCGATCCGCCGCCCCCTGTCGATTCATCGCGAGGGTGCCTGGCGTGCTAGACCCTTACGGTTTTGGTCTTGGTTCTTTTTCCAAAAGAACTCCCCTGGGGGGTTCGGCCCGTCCCGCCGGCCACCCGGAAAGATTGCCCAGAGGTAGTTGCAAACGGTTTTTCCTGCTCCAAGACGGCCCAAGATGGCGTCCAAGGCGCCTCCAAGACGGCCAACATGGCCTCGAAGACGGCCCAGACGGCCCCAAGATGCCTCCAAGATGGTCCAAGATGCCTCCAAGACGGCCTAAGATAGCCTCAAGATGGTTCAAGACGGCCCAAGAGGCCCCCAAGATCCCCCCTAACACGCCCCCCAGAGGTACTCAATGAAGGCCCGAAGAGGCCAAAGTCATTGGTGTTCCTTCGGTTTTTGAAGGACTTTGGCATTTGCTTCTTTTCGGCCTTCCGAAGACCTCAAGACGGCCCAAGGGGCCCCCAAGATCGCCCCAAAATCGCTCACAGGGTGGCCGCATGACGGCCCCAGAAGCCCCCAAGAAGGCCCCAACTGTCAATGTTAGTGATTATGAGCCTCTTTTCCTCGAGCTGTAAGATCCGCTCGGTCGATCAATATGAAATGGTGCTGGTCGCACCACACACACACAGCTGATGAAATCAGGGAAACCCCAGTCAAAGACGGGAACACATCTGATAAATTGTTATCGCTGTCTGGCTCAAAAAGGGGATCCCCTGATATCGTTTGCGAAACAAACGGCCATGGAAACACAACATGGCATACCATGCAACAGAAAACTCCTCGAGCCCCTCGACAAGGGCGTTCAACCCAATAGCTGCTTATATACTGCGTTTCGGGCTGTCCCTGAAACCCTCATCTTCACACAGAATATAAACTTTGCAGCTTCAGAAACTGGAGATCAGCAGCCATGCATAAATAACCTTCTGCATACAAGAGTTGTGCTCTAAAAATCACATAAAAAGCTCGGCCCAAACCAGCCGAACATCAACCGTTCGCACATCAAACATGAAACGAAACAAAACGAGTTTGAACAACCATCAGCTTTCCATAAGGATCCTCCGAACGAGGTCTGCTTTGAGCCCCGACACTGGGAGGTTCATTTCACGCAAAATGCCCTGCAATGCATACACTGGCATAGCCTCGAGCTTCTTCTGCACGTCCGATGTGTAGGGCATGTGGGTCATTCCTAGATCGTCCAGATTCCGTGCAGCACTGCTCGGTGACTGTTTGAGTCAATTGCCCGGTGGTC